TTTGCCATAAGCTATGTAGCTTACCTCATACTATTCGTACTTTCCTCTCTGAAATTCCAGACGATTAATTTCCGCATATTTCCTCTTCTTCTCGCTTTTCTATTCGTTCGGCCACACGGGCGGCACGGGGATGCGCGACGAGGGTGGGAACTGGTGTATTCTCCTTTTTTTTTTTTTCTTTTTGCACACGGAAAAAAGATCACTTCCAGTCATCGACGCGAGATCGACGGACGATTACCTTAGTAATGGTGCATCATGATTCCTCACATCCGACGACGCCTCTCGCATCTGCGATAACGCGGTTGTTTGTTGCTCGCTCGTATGTGTGCCCTATGCCGTAATCCGCGGTATATCTTCGTTTTCGATAGCGAACGATGTTGATCTCCCTGGAAATTTACGCGCGTGACGCGCGTACCCCGCGGTGACGTTGGTCGTCGGTCATCGAGGGATAACACGTGCTCGCCCGGAGTATTATTCCGTTGATATTAATACCAGCGATGTAAACACTGGTCTCGGACAATTGGCAAACTCCGGGATCTTAGACACACCGGGACGGCTCATCGTGGTGATCTTGGAAATTGGTGCTGGTGTACGAAAGAGAGATCAGATGTTTCCGAGTTCAACGACGTGTTGATCGAACACGATTGTTGATCAAACAAGCGTTTCTTCCTCCCTTAACTAGAAAAATAAAAATACGACATTTTCACGAATATGTTATTGAATGTGTCTGTCGTAGGTAAAAACCGGGCTTGAGACGTTCTTATGATGGATTTGTATTACAAAATATGAATACTATTCTCGCTCTCTTGATCACTTATTAGATATGAAAACGTGTAAGAGATAATGTGAAACCTGCGAGACAGACATAGAAATATCAAAAGAACGTCGTTTATAAATAAAATTAAGATTTCAAGGAAATATTTAATTTAAATGACTGTTCGGAGAGAAAAATTAATAAAATAAATTAAACATATGTGAAACGGATCAAGCGTGGAAAAGATAGAGACAAAAAAAAAAATAGAGACCGTACCGTACATTTCGCGTAATTTCCGTAATATCCTGCAGGAGGATATTATTTCTCGTTTCGTGCGGATTTCTAGGACATGCAATCTCTTACTTGGAAACACCCGATATATCGCTCCTTCTCGTTTGCCAGAAGACAATCGACCAGCGATTAGTATCATCGATTCATTCGTGCGTTCCGTGCGTGGGTGGTGTTTCGATTGTGTAAAAAAAAAAAACCCGGACGGCGCGGGCCTCCCTTCTTCCACCACGACCGGTTCGTCGATTCACCGGTTTTCTAGCTGGCACTCTGACTTGCACTTTTACCAATTTAAGCAGAATGTCGTAAGAGAGCGCGGCAACCGTCGACTCCCCGAGGCGCGTGACACGCATAGACGATGCATCGTGCGACGACGCGATGGTTTTTAATTTGCGCCTCGAGGGTGCAACAGGTTCCATTCGAGGAACGGAATGTTTCCCGCGACGTTGCGTGTGCACGTCGAGCGGCTCGCCAAGCGAGATCTATCGATCTCGATCTGGCCGACCCGATCGGGATACTTTTATGCGCGCCGCCTGCCTAGCTTCATTAACTCGCTCAATCGCCCTAACAACGCAGCCTATCTCGCTGCGAGCGCAACCACCGTCTCTATTATAACCGATAT